AAAAGCAAATCTAGAATTAGCTTATGCCAGCGAGACTTGGTGAAATATCAAGTTCTCTTGAAGCCACAGAATAGCCAGTTGTCGGGCGAGGGGGCTGAAACAATAACCCTGTAAACAAACTGTCCGCAGTGAGTGGCCAGACAGCCTACAGCAGAGATGGAAGAAAGCCTTCCAGCACACCACCTCCTCATCACAGTTTGTAACAGCTTGATGACGACGTTCTCCAGCATGTTTTAGTGATTATAATACCTTCCCCCTTCACATAAGATTGATTTATTATGGTTTAAATTTAAAGAAAACTGGTTTCCCAGTTTTGAATCAGGGTTAGGTTACAGCACACATTAAATCAATGACTTTGTTCTATGCAAGAAAAAACAGCATTTATTTAAGTGCAAAAAGAATAATCCGGAGGAAAAATCCCTCATGCCATTCCACATGCTATGTCCACCATCCACCTGACCATTTATCCTCCTCCATACCCACCCCTACCATCAGCTCTACCACACTTAATACTTTTATGGTACCATAAGATTCACCAACTTCTATAATTGCTTTTGATGCTCAAAACAACTTTGACAAATAGAAAGAGAACAGCTTTCAAGTTACAGAGAAAACTCTGAAACTTGGAGCAGTGCAGTTATTGGCTTAGGAGCTTTCAACCAGCAAAGACTTCTCCCACAAAGGCACACTGGTGACTTCTATGTATCTGTCTCTGGTCCACACCTCTCCCCGCAAGTCGCAGCACTCATAGCCACCCAATTGATTCAGTGTCTGCACTTTGCTGTCCCAAATGCAGTTAAACAAACTTTGCAGCCTAAGCCCATTATACTGTCCCATAAGTCTGCTTTCTTTCCCAGTGCCTCTGTTGAGATGTTCATATCCAGGATCTAGAACATTGTACATGCAGGTGCACTGCCTTACTACAGACTATAGATTCTGCTTTGTGAATATTTATGAGATATGCCCCAGGACATGAGCTAGCACATGCAAGGTGAGGATTCCAGCATGCCCTAGGAAGTTCCAGCACCTAGAACATAAACTACAAGAGCAGTAGTTCTTTACCTTGGAAACTAATGCCAGGAAATGAATATCTGAGCCAACATGGTGTATTTTAGCCCTGTCAAAGGAGACTTCTGACTTAAGCTGCTAAATGGTACAACAATTAATACTTAAATAACTAGGAAGCGCAGCTTTGGTACTCTCAAGTAATATTGACATACACATAGGATCACCATAGAATTTACTCAACTTCCCTTTTCACAACAGGGCAAACTCACTAAACTCTGTTACCATGTGGTACTTCTGATGAGAATTAGGGGTAAGGTGTTCTAGGTACAAATTCTCAAGTTGCTAAGAATAAGTATGACTTATAAGTATGACACAAAGTCAAAATTCTCAAACTGTAGTGAACGAAATGCAGCCTTTACTGGAAACTTAAGAAAATATTTTAGTATTCCCTAGGGTCTTGACTAATAAGTTAATTGTTGATTTACCAGGATAATCCAGATATCGGAAGTGCTGCTTGACATTTCACTGAATATAATTAGACAGAAATCAGTAGATTTGGACATGATGACACACAGGGTGAACAGTTCATTCTACATCTTTCCACTCTACTTTAGTCCCTAGAGGTTTTCCCAGGCAGTGAGGTCCTGTCTACACTGCTTTAGTCTTTATCGGGACTTTGGTTGCTGCTGACAAACGAGCCTGCTCTGGCAGTGCACGGAGGCAACTTGCAGAAATGTATATTGGGATCATCTGCAGAATCATTTCCCCAAATAAACATTTCACTTTTTTACTCTAGAGACCCTGTGATGTCATTAATAACCTTGAAAATGGCAGTTTTTTTTTCCTCTAGAATTGTGTTGTGTCTTAGCTATTCAATCATAAATTCTGTTTCCTACAAATGACCATCGGTCAAGAGAAAAAGCCTCAGAAATGTTAACATATTGTTTTAGTAACTCGTTAAAGGCAAACCACTTTTCCTTTTATTTCTTCCAATTTAATACGCATTTGTGGAGGGCCTACTGAGTGCAGGCACTATGTTAATCTCTGGTGAATATGGCAGTGAAAAAGGAAGAACAAAGTCCCTGTCCTTCTAGAACTTAAAGTTTGATATGTGCCTCATAAATGGAAACTGAGATTGGTGGAGAATTTTCATGCCGTTTATAAGTTGAGAGGGATGGTCACATGTTACAAAGAGCAGATATACAACTCATCTTCTCTGTCCAAAGATTCTCGATCTGTGGATTCAGCCATGGTGGACTGAAAACTGGAAAATATACTGATGTGTATCAAACATGTATAGACTTAAACACATTCAATTAATTAATTGACTACATCCATGATGGAGAAAAACAACACACACACCTGTAAACAGCTCAGGTTGTCCCAGGCTGTGGCAAGAAGGCTAGAACTCCATCTCGGTCTTTCAGCAGGTGCAGAGACCCAAGAAGCCCTTGAGCCATCATGAGTTACTGCCCACAATAGTCAGCAGCAGTAAACCGGATTTGATCAGTAAGGATCAGGGCTTGAGGTGAACGCTCGGACGTGGGATGTGGCAGCTCCAAAGTGCTGCTGTAAACATCCACCCCATGTGTAAACTTTTAAAATCGTTATTTCCTAACAATATAGTGTCTATGTATACAGCCTTTGCACTGTGTTAGCATTATAAGCAATTAAGCGCTCTTTATACCTGAGGATGTGTGGAGGGAATATGCAAGTATTACGTTATTTCATATGAGCGACTGGAACATCCCTGGATTGTGGTACCTGCTGGAGGCTCAGGAACCCTGTGGTGACTGAGGGATGAATGTTTTTCCGAATTTTAAAACATTCATTCTTTTAAGTTACAGAAATTATTTTTAAACAGCATAATCTATTCCATATAAAAATAGTCTAACGGGAACTTAGTTTTAGAATGCTGATTCAAATTTAGAAAGGGCAAATAATAAAAATGGTATTATAATTATTAATTAATGATTCCCATTATGCTGTTTAGCTAATGCTTAGCTAAATTTTATTTAATCTACCCTTGAAAACTGAGTAGTCATTTTAACACATCTTTGTAGAATGCCTGGTATGCCTCATTAAAATACAATTTTATGTTCAGATTATTAATAAGGTTGGTTTGCAAACTGGCAAGATAGGCAGAATCTTTCAATAGTTTCACAACATTGTGCAGAATAAATGCAAATTTAGGATTTTAGTTTTCAAAAATAATTCAGAACATTTAATAACATAATTTATCTAAAATACATATAACTAAATTCATCATGTATAATTTCTATATGTCTCAAGCTTTTGGCTAGCTGGACAAATGGGGCATAGACACTTCCGTATTCTATGGACTGCCTGTTGCAGAACATAGAACGCAGGGCCGGTTTCACGGGTTGGTGACTTGAGGGTAGGGAAAAATTCCATGGTCCTCTAAGCTTAAAAGCACATCTTGGGGCTGGCATTGCGGTGCAATGGGTTAAGCTGCTGCCTGTGACACCAGCATCCCATGTGAGTGCTGGCTGAAGTCTCACTTGTTCTATTTCCAGTCCTGAAGAAGGTACAAGTGCAGGGCCTCCTGCCTCTCGAATGCGAGACCCAGATGTAGTTTTAGGCTCCTGGCTGCGGTCAGGCCCCACCTGCCCTTTCTCTATCTCAATCCAGACTTTCAAACAAACAAACAAACTATATATATATAAAGCAAATCTTGCACTAACTTTGTATTACAGATGTTGAAAGGCTGCTGCTGCTAGCTTCTCTAAATTATCACTGATGATAATAAGCATTAATATATCACATCAGGGCCTGCTGCAGTAGCCTAGTGGCTAAAGTTCTTGCCTTGCACATGCTGGGATCTGCTATGGACACTGGTTTGTGTCCTGGCATCCCTGCTTCCCATCCAGCTCCCTGCTTGAGGTCTGGGAAAGCAGGTGGGAACGGCCCAAAGCCTTGGGACCTTGCACCCATGTGGAAGATTCAGAAAAAGCTTCTGGCTTCTGTCTTCAGATCAGCTCAGCTTTGGCCATTGTGACCACTTGGGGAGTGAACCAGCAGATGGGAGATTTTTCTCTCTGTTTCTCCTTCTCTCTGTATATATCCCTTTTCAATCATAGAGATGTGTATATATAATGTGTATATGTATAAACACACACACATATATAAAAGAAGTTGAATGGCCAAAATTTGAGTTGTTGCTGAAACAGGATGCAGGCACCACAGGCAGCAGCTTAATGTACTGTGCCACAGCACCAGACCCAAAGAAAATGAAATGCTGTGCTTATGAGAATGCTGTGCTTATTATGTTTTGGAGATGAAAATTAAGCAATAATGTGGTCTAAGAATTACTATTAGTGATGAAAAGAAAGCACTTGAGTATTGATGGTACACTCTTTAAGAAGATAAATATTGTTCAAAATTGGGCTCAAATCTGTTTCATTATTTGCTACATGATCCTGGATAACATACTTTTTCTGTCTTCCTTTGCTCTCCTTCTTTCTGGCTTGTTTATTTGAAAAATACAGAGAGAGAAATGGAGACACAGAGAGGTCTTCAATCTGTTGGTTCACATGCTAAATGGTCACAATGGCCAGTGCCATGTCAGGCAGAAGCCATGAGCCACGAATTCCACTGGGCTCCCCTACAGGGGTGGCAGGGCCCAAGCTCAGGCCATCTTGTGCTGTTTTCCAAGCCATGTTAGCTGTGCTGGATCACAGGCAGAGCATCCAGGACTCAAACTGATGCTCTGATATGGGATGCTGGCACCCCGGGCAGCTTAACCTGCTGTGCTGCAACACTGGCCGCTTGACTTGACCTTTGTAAACCTCAGTTTTTGATTTCCAAATGGGGATCACATCACTGGGTCCAGGAGGTTGATGAAAGGATCAAATTAGATAACAAATGGAAGTGTTCAGCACAGGGACTGGGACATGATAAATCCTCTACAAAGGGAACTATTACCATTAATAGGATTTTTCCTCTGGGACTTTAATTTATAAAGTAGTTACCTTATTGACAGGAATAATGTTTTTGACATTGTAGTAGAAGCCAAAATAAACCATGTTGAAAACTCCATGACGTCCCAAAGTTGCCGTAAATCCTTTGTTGAGGCCCTGGAATCCGAAGCCTTCCTTCTTAATGATGTGTCTTGCGTAACTCATGGTGGACGGTTGCTGCAGGAGAAAGAATCAAAGCCAGAAAGATGATCTTTGGGACTGCTGAGAAAAGGAAATCACTGTATTAGCTTCTCTTCAAGCTAGAGTGGTTAGAGGCTTCTTTTCCCAAACATGAATAATCATGCCTGGATCTATGCTTTTGAAAATGAGAAAACCCAAAAAGCAAATAAAATTTCATGCATAACATCAAGTTTTCTGGAGAAGATTGTTGGCAAAGAAAAAACATCCTTGTTGGAATTAGTGAAACTAATGTCATGTAATAACTATCACCACTTTCAACATGTAAATAATTGCACCCAATTCTGGGTTACCCACTCTAATGGAGGGGATTACCCAGAGAGATAAGTTAGTAATCCTTAATTGTGCATCATCCAAAAGGAATTTATACTTGGCTGCTGAGTCCAGTATATTTATCTTTCTAATTACATTTGTCTAAAGCCAACATTACAATTAGTCATGATTCCATCTCCTCAATGGTTTAAACTGCATTAGGTTAGAAACTGACCATGGTTCCATGGATAAACAACTGTTGATTGGACATGTCCTCAGGAAGGTGGGCAATCAGTGCGTACATCCCACAGTGATAAACTACAAGTCCACAGTGTTGGGAATGCTGGGTTACCTCTAGTTTGCTAATTTCCAGTCCTGTGATTGATTACCCAAGGCTGAAATACCTGACTGCTGGAATCCAATCTATTGCTACTTTTGGAACTGACTGAGCTCACTGCAGTAATCTCTGAGGCTTACAGTTCATTCTAATACAATAACAACAATTCATGATTTTTTTTTTTTAAGTGTGAGTGGGACCTGGTGTGATGGCCTAGTGGCTAAAATCCTTGCCTTGCATGTGCCAGGGTCCCATATGGGCACCGGTTCTAATCCAGGAGGCCCCACTTCCCATCCAGCTAACCCTAACTCTGCTTGTGGCCTGGGGAAGTAGTCAAGGATGACCCAAAGTCCTGAGTTCCTGCACCCATGTGGGAGACCCAGAAGAAGCTCCAGGCTCCTGGCTTCAGGTTGGCTTAGCATCAGCCATTGCGGCCACTAGGGAAGTGAATCAATGTAAGAAAGATCTTCTCTCCTCCTCTCTGTATATCTGACTTTTAATAAAAATAAATCAGTCTTTAAAGTGTGAGTGACTGTTTCCTCCCTGGAGATCCTGCACAAATGCTATCTCTCGTACTCGCATTTTAATAAACGGGGGGAAATGTTTCGTGTTAATTTTTTCTTTCTTTCTTTTTTGCGCAAAAGGCAAGCAGTGACTTGGTATTTGATATTTCACTGGAAAACATTGCTGAAGTGGTCATGGCTGTCTGGTGTGTTTTCAGAATAAAAGTTTTTTTTTTTTTAATCAGGTGCAATTATGGCTATAGCAGCAGAACAGAAGCAATCAGAGTGTCTCACCAAACATGTATTAATAGCCATAATTAACATGATAGTTTAGATGAGTTTGTTTATACAGTAAATCCTTTAGCTTCTTCTTGTAAATGTTCTAAGATCTCCAGCTACAATTCTATGCTTAACTCCATCTTTTCGTCTAAGTGGATTAATTACAATAAGTTACATAAAGCTTAAGGAAACCTTTTTATCCTATGCTCCCATGGTTTTCTCATAGTTCAGTCTTGAAATAACAAAGAATATATCTCCTATAGGAAAGCCAAAATATTTTCAGAGGGTTAACATTCTGCTCTATAACATGAGGCATTTTTGTCTGAGTTTGGGCACATTGATTATCCATTCAAATGACTCGATTTGCTTTTTGAATCAGATGTCGATGAATTAAGCAGGTGTTCTTTTCTGCTGGAAAGAAGTTGAAGCGCAAAGTGCTCTGAAGAAGGCAGCCTAGGAACAGGGAAAGCAGAGAAGGTGTTTTTCCTGGGAGAGAAGGAACAGGGCAGAAGCAAGGTCTCCTGAGCCCAGCCTGACCAACACTGGACTCCCTATATTGGGCTCCCTATATCCCGCCCAAGTTTTTCTCCATAATGGGAAATCTGAAGTCTCAAGGGCAAAAAATGGATAGGGACACTCAACGATCATTCAGATTTTAAACCAACATAGAAGTAAAAAGCCAAAGTGCAGATGACAATGGCTTTCCCTTAAAAATTGGTTTTAAAGATGATTTTTATGGTTAAAAATCCTAGTTTGCTAAATCATCAGGATTTGGACAATTAAACCAATTTGAACAAAAATGCTTTTCATCATCTTGAAAAGCGAAGGCTTATACTAGACCTTGGTGAGGGCCAACAAGTATGCAAATAACATTTGCTAATTGTTTGTTCCCTGATTCTCACTTGTTTGGGTGTGTGCAATGAAGTACAATGTGCAGATTTTAAACCAAAACATTTTCTTCAGCTTGAACCCTACTTGTAAATAATGTAGACCAGAAGGTAGCATTATAATTAGACACAGGGCTTCAGGGGCATGACCTTGGCCAAGTGGTTAAGATGCCACTTCCAATGCTCATATCCCATAGCAGACTGCCAGGGTTTATCGGCTCTGCTCCCAGTTCCAGCTTCATGCTAATCGTGCACCCTGGGAGGAAACAGGTGATGACTCAAACATTCAGCCTGCTGTCCGTGTGGCAGACCTGGACTGAGCTGCCAGTTTCAAGCTCTGGCCTGGTCTATCCTCAGCTATGGTGGGGATCTGGAGAAGGAGCAGTCAATGAGAGCTCCATCTGTCTCTGAGTTGATATGAATGTCAGCAATATCACCAGCTAAATATGGCAAATATTTTATCCCTACTGATTTATCCCCTCTTTACTAGTTGGAAAACAAGGATAACAATAGACGCTTCCTCACAGGATGTGTGCAATGATCAAGGATGCTGTGATGAAAAATAATAGGTCAGGAACTTACTTCCCTGCAGGCCTTGACGAATAGATATTAAAAATCATGACAATTATGCCAAAAATCATCAAATGATTGTAATAACAAAATAACAGGTGATTTTTTGTTGATGGAAGGTAGAGGTAATAAGAAAGAACAGGCCGATTTAAGGGAGATAGACATTGTAAACTAGCGTGTTTCTTCTCATTTCTTCTGACCATCCTTTTCTTCTCCTGGGAACCTTGTGTTGAAGTTCACTCCAAAAACATCCACAATGGCAAGATGTCGGGTTTGCTTCTTCTGAGGTCCAGCCAGATCCAAGCCTAGACCAGGAATCTCATTTCAGGGATGGTGCCTTGGCCACAGGGCTTTCTTCTCTGGAGCTGCGGGGTCTGTCCACTGGCTTTTCCCCTAGCCTTACAGTTAGCATCCTCAGAAGGTTCTCTGTATTTGACAAGCACAGGGCTGTAGAAGCAGAGCAACATGGGAGCAAAGGTTTGGAATGGAAAAGTACAGACTGTGTCTCCAAGCCTTGGTGGCTTTATAACTAGAGAATTCTTTCACATATGATGGTATCAGGTACGTGGAACAGAGAGAGAGCTCATCCTAGTTAATCACCATCACACATGCTCAACATTTTATGTATATGGTTTCAGCTATTCCTCTCAACAAGTGTGTGTGGGTATTTCCATTATTTCCATTTGACAGATGTGAAAACTAAAGTGTAAAAGTTTGGTTATTTGCCTAAGATACACAGTAAGTGGCAATGCCAGAATTCAAATTGAGGAACGTTGAGCTCCAAGTTTGTAGGTTTTTTTTTCCTGTTTATTTTTAATTACTTATCTGAAAGAAGGGGAGCAAGAAATAGGGAGAGAGTCAGATACTGCTTATCTCCTGACCTTCCTCCTCAATGCCAGGGCTGGGCCAGATTGAAGCTAAAACCTAGGAACTCAGTATGGGCCTCATGTGAGTGTGGCAGGGAACCCAGAACTTCAGCCATTATCTGCTGCCTCTCTGGGTATACAACAGTGGGAATACCAGGGGCAGAACCAGGGGCTGGATCTAGGCACTCCAATATGGGGTACAAGCATCCCAAGTGGTGTCTTAACTGCCACGCACACTCCATCTTCAAGTCGGTGCAGTTTTCCTCTGCATGGTCCTGCTATCCTAACACATTTATTTGCTTTTCTCAACTACTCGGTCAGTAGGTACTATGCGTTCTTACTTTTCAGGTAAGGAAACCAAGAATAGTTAATGATGTCAAGGCAAAATTCTGCTAATAGCTAGCTTAACCAGAATATTTCATTTAGTTCAGTGGTGTTCTCTCCATATTCATCCTGGTTATACACAGGGCATGAGATTTTCAGAGTCTGAGGGTCCAGCTGATATATAACAGATACAGATACACAATGGCACACGCACACTTTTTTTTTTTTTTTTTTGGCTTTGGCAAGCTCGGGCCTGGGGTAAGGAAAACCAGAACTCTAATGCCTAAAGAAATTAGAAGTAAAATTATGACAGGTTTTTTTTTTTTCTTCACTCAGAGACCTTGTATTACACACATGTAAGCAAATATTTAATTAGAAAGGCAAAACGCAACTTCCACTAGGATGCTTAAATAGGAAAATACAGAATCATTTTGACTAGATCTCTGTAAACACAAGGGATTTTACTAAACTTATTTGATTACCGGGCTTCCATTTCAAAACAAAATGGTGACTGATTAGCATCATCAGCCAAATGATTCCGATACTATCCAACCCAGCAGGTCACTAACCAGTTCAATTTCCTTCCAATATTTAGATTCACTCCAATTTTCATATTTCGTTACCAACTGTGGGCCAAATTGCATTCTAACTTTCCTACATGAGGCTATCATTGCACAGTGCTTTAAGCATGGAAGAAGTATAGTTAATATTGTGATATCACAAGCAAATCTTCGTCTCATACTAATAGTGTTTTTATTGAAAGTAAATAAAAGCCTTCTCTAACTTATATTTCAGCTATTTTCAACTAGGAATTGCATGAAATTATATATTCTTCCATGCATTCATTTATTTAACAAATATCTACTGAGAGCCCACAGGTGCCATGCCTCTTGCTAAATGTCCAGCACAGTGCTTTGATTCACCTTCTAGAAATCTTTAACTCTTACTTGGGAAGAGATGC